GGCCTTGGAACTTGGTCTTGGTTGAAAATTCAAAACATTCCTCAGACTACAGCCATCAATGCACGTCATTCACAGTGCAAAATCCGTTAAGCAGCCGCTCGCGAGTGTGCTCATAATTCCAAGGTAGCAGGTTAAGAAACTTTTACCGTGTTGTATATGGCAGGGAGAGATTATTCCTAATTAGTTTTGGCTTTTTTACCTTTTTCGATACCATTTGAATCTTCAAATATTCAAGATTTCCAGGCTTTTGTATCACTCGTCAAAGGTGACTCACCAATCTTCCAAATGCCTTGACGAAGAGATCGTCTTAAAAATCCACAAAGTCTCTACAGATGGCTGGTAACAGAGCTCTTATCTCCTTCCGAGCAATGAGAGGATGGTTTTAAGGAATTCGTCATCAGCACACAAAAGTCCTTTTAAGATCTACCTCCAGGATAGAATAAGTTTTCATTCAGTATATGCACATTTCTCGTAACTCAAAGTTGATTTCTTAATGAGAAGGACGTCCTATATACTGAGGTCTGCTAGAAACGTACACCATCTTTGTTTTATAACAGTAGATGCACTAAATCTTAGAGATTATCTACTCTCTTGAACTTCCCAACTTTCGTTAGCTAAAGTCATGTAGTCTGTTGGCTTGACGGTAAGCGGTAAGTTCTCCTCTTAAAACATGTCAGCGTTTAAGCTACTATAGTAAACACAGCATTAACTTGTATGTCCTCATACTTTCTTTTTAGGTGTGTAATTTGATCTAGATTTTGTTTAAATGTGTAATGCATTTTGTTTGCATACTTTCGAAATACAACACACATCTTCCGGCAGCCCTTAATGGGCACGTGCTTCTGCAGGCGTATTGCATTTCTAGCATTTCCTGCATTCCATTTCCAGCCCTGTTTAAGGGCACTGTTGCGGCCACTCTCGGACTCAGGAACAACGGTCTGTCTTTGGGACGCAAGTGACTCACGATCTACGCGGGTTTGAACGGCTGAACTTGGCCAGCAATTTCGTTCAACTCTTCTTCATTGCAAGTCAATTTATTGGCCTCTGCAAAAGAAAGAATTTCGGATCCAATGAGTCGTATCGTTACCATTTATATCACTGTTTGTAAATTTTTACCGTTTTTCCATCGTCAGAATGTAGTAGTCTAGTCAATACTAGTTAGTTAGTTGTAGAATTTTTGTGTTTGACATTTTCTAAGACGTTAAATACGTTTTGCAGGCGTAATTCTAGGTTGCCTCTACCAAATGGTGAATGCCCGACGTGATCAAATCGCTACCTCCTGATACGCCTGAATGCAAACGTCAAAACAATTCTCCATGCTACTTAATTTGCCTGTGTTTCCTGTGTCACTCATCGTGTCCACATTTAATAAAACGTA